TCCGAGAAACTAGTCTCGACCAGGCCCTAGACGGCCCGAGTTTATTCTGTATTTCATATCCGTCTAGGGGAAGTCCAAATTTCCATCAAGTGATGGGATCTCCTATTTATGTCACATTGATGTTATCGCCGTTAATAGGGGCTTCCAATATAGTAATTGTCAGCACTGTCCACTTTCCGGGGCCACTTGACGCTTGGACCTAAAGTCAACTTTTATCCGGGGACTCCCTTCGAAATAAAAGTTAATTTTATTTTTTTGAAAGATACATTTCAAGAATTATAAGAAATAAACTTGATCTTAGAAACAATCTTAAATGATAACAAAGTTATTTTTTATTGATATTAAAAGTATTAGATATAATCAAGGACTGAAAAAATATATTAATCATCATTAAGTATTCTAACCCCTAAAAAGATTTAGAGATCATAATTTTATCCATTCCTAACAACCATCTAATAATCTTAAATAAGCTTTATGTTAATTACATCCAAAAGAAACTACTTTCACCAATAATTTTGCATAATTTATATACATAATTAACAGGAATTCCAAAGATTAAATACTTAAAGTAAGAAATTTAATATATGAATGTTTAATCATTAATGCATTTCTTGATTTTATAGGTGAGTATTTGATGTTGTTGATGATTTGTTTTATTCTAATAAATGAAATAGAAGATATATAATGACATTGTTTATCAGTTTAAGTAATGAGAAAAATTTATCAAATTGACTTTAATAAACAGAATTACTTTACAGAATTATATGTAAAGATAAAGTCAACTTTAAGGGAAAAAATTATAAATGTTGAGATCAGAGTGCAATTTTTTTTAATTTATTGTACATTTAACTGATATTGCTATGTAAAGTGGATCGAATGCACTCAATTTATTAGTCGAAATGAATTTCATTGGATCAGAATTTGATAATGTGGACATAAATGGGATGAACTTGAATTAAACCTAATTGTTAAATTGTAAATGAAAAAATATTAAAATATATGAGTTAAATATATTAGATGGTCATTCTGGTTATGTTGTGTCAGTCAATTTCTATCCTAATGGTACAATATTTGCATCTGGTAGTTATGATAGCTCTATTCGTTTATGGGATATAAAGACAGCGAAAGAGATTTTACCTCAAGATAATTGGTACAAAGACCTTCTATCATAATTTAAATTGCCGCTTTAAAGTTGATCCATTTCATTAAATCTTATTTAACAGCACCATTACTTAGCAATGTTTATCGTACAATACGACGAATATGCAAGGAGCTTTATTGAGAGGAGTTTTTGAAATTATTAAGGTAAGGATCTAAAACCATTATTCAAATCTAAAATTTGTTTGATATTAGAAAAATTAATAAAATTCATATAAGATTGATAATTATTAAATATTATGAGTATCATTTATTTTCTATCTGCTGAAAAATTTTAATAACATCTTATATGAAATTTATTTCTACATTTTTTATGAAAGAATTTGAGACATGCTCATTAGTTCAAAGTTAAATGAACAGTTAAATTCTCTATCACGAAAAAAAAACTATATTTAATTTTCATTTAGTTATGCTAATGTATTAGTTTTAGTATGTATAAGAAAGATAACAACATTTATCAATTGAAATTTGCTATCATTCCCTCAAATGTTGTTTTACCTCTAAGTTTACTAAACAAATACAAGTGATTCAGACTTTATTCTGTTTTGTTTTTATATTCAAGTATCAAGCAGCATCAGAGAAGGATTAATTTGATCAATAAATTAAAAAATAAATATATGAAAGTAATTATAACTTAGTAATACAATCATTTATTTGCTCATTCAAATCTAAGATCACAATATAGAGTAAAGATCCAGGAAATTCAACAAAAACATTATTTTCAAAATCAAATTTTTTATACTGTGATTGTAATCAAATGCGAATAAACGCCAATTATAAGAATATCTAAAACAAATGATAAATAATTCTTTAATTAAAATTTTAAATGATTAAAAATTTTTTTAAAATGTGATTTAACTTTTTAAATAACTCTTCTAGTTAATAATCTGAAATTAATTTTCTTTGCAAAATTGTTATCATATACATAGTTTTCAATAATTATTTAATTACAAACAACATAGATAATGATTTCATTTCTGAAGATATTATTTCTGAAATCGATAATATATGAAAATTGTTTAACAGACACGTAGCTGATTGTAGATATACGGATTTTTAAATCGTTGGGTTAAGTTCTTCGAATTTAGATAGATGTGGAAACTAAGTTAAAAGCCTATTAATGGGCCCTTATGGATATTAAACAACGGTGACCAAGACATTACTTAATTGAATTAAAAGTTGGTATTTTGAAACTAGACTCTTGGGATAAAGAAGGATATATCAATTCCAAAGCACTAAATCGTTTATATATCTTCCAAAACATATAGGTGTAAGATACTTATTTGGTTTTTAATAAAAAACTCAAACTATAGTAATAGAAAATTCAATTTTAATTGTAAAAAAAGAAAATGTAATGTGAAAAAGATTGTGTTGGGGAGTTGTATAAGGTTTTGGCCTTATCCAAAGAGGTTGATGAAGTCGTCCTCCCTTTCCTCTTAAACTATTTAAAAAAAGAGAGAATTTAAGACTGCCTACTATTTCTCTCGTAAGATCAAAACAAATTCCTTTTAGATATCGAAAGTTAAAAGGTAGAAAACTAATCTCAGCTTGAGAAAGAATAGACTCTTAATGGAGAGAAGAATATCAAGAGAATAATGGATGTTCTCAAAAAAGTTAGGGATCATGACTTTAATACACAAGATTACTCTATGAATGATTATGAAGAATTTAAAAAGGATCTAATCACAAAAATATGATTGAATAAGAAGATAATAGAATTCCTAAAATTTTTAGTTCATTTGACTGCTTTAGAAGAGACCTATAATTGGTGTGGATCAAATTCTCTTCATTTGCTAGTTTAAATGAAAGTGGATTTGAGGGAATAAAGTTTTGAGAATATCAGGATAAGAAGTACCTCTTTAGTTGGAGCTAGGTTCAAAAAAATATCAGATAAAGATATTAAATAATGTACATTTATCTTTGTTTAATATAACTTTCTTTCACTAATTATGTGAATCAT